ACAACCCCACGCCCAACAAGAACAAACAAACGGCGCAAAGGTGTTCCCTTTGGTTTCCACCTACTCAAAAAAACACCCCCAAAAATGGCGCAACGGTATTTCTCTTGGTTTTGTGAAAACAACCAACAGCGGCACCAACTTTAAAAAGACGCTCTTGGGCAAGTCCTTCTGGCTCGCGTCTGACTCGATCGCGTCTGACTCGCATGGGCCCGAGTCAGACTCGCCAGGTTCTGATCGATACCTTTCGTGGCTTCGACTTGGCAAAAAGTCGAAGCCCGCCGGTCACCAAGACTAGATATTTGTGTGTGTGTGCGTGTGTCTTGGTGTCACTCTATATCTGTGTGCCTTGGTGTCACTAGATATCTGTGTCTTCAGGATTCCAGGTCATTATTTTTTGGTGGCAGCCACATCCCGGCAACCACATCTGGGCCACAAAGAAACAGAAGAAACTTGCTGGTTCTCGGCAGGGAATGAGTTGGAATGACCCCTATGAAACCATCCAACAGGTGGCTTCCTTTTACGGGAATCCCCCAAACCGGTTCATTCCCAACAGAAATCATTCCCTGTTCTGGCTCCAAAACTTCACCTTAGCCGCAAAAAAGTGGTTTGGAGCCCGGTGGCTTGGACGTACTCCCACCACCCATCATCCACCTTCTGGAAGAGAGGGTGGGTCCGGACCCAGTTCCATTTCCCTAGTCCCACAACCAAAAAACATTTGCTGGTGCTCAGTAGGGAACCAGGCATGAACCTAGGGGTGCCCCCAGAAAACCACCTTCCCCCCAGAAAACCAGTGGGATGGTTTATATCCGGACGTCCATTTCTCATTCCCATCTCTCGCATGGAGAGTGTTTTTACTGGTCACCCCCCTCCGAGGGGATCGATCCAAGCCAGGCGTCTCGATCCGGGTCCCGCGCGCTGAGGCTCGCCGCCTCTTCTTTTTTTCGGTGGAGTAAACCTGCGCCAACCGCGGGTTCTTGGCAGCTTCCCTCGCGGGTGTCCGGTGGGGTCCCGTAAAACCAAGGTCAAGGGGTTTGTGTTGGTGGTTTGGATTTGGTGGTTCGTGGGTCGCTTTGCTTGTTTGGTTTGGTTATTTTGGGAACCCGCAAAAAAAGACACATCCACCTGGTGGTTTGGAGTCGATTCGGTCGTCTGGAGGTTGGGCAGCTTCCCAGTAAACCCCTACAAGAACCAGGGTTTCAAATCCCCAGAAATACCTGCTGTTGGCTTCGCCATAAATCAACCTGAGAAGGGTTGCCCTCAAATATAGCACCATGGGTTTCTCTCGAAATGGTGTCTATTAGAACCCTCCCGCGGCGGGGTTGCCCCAAAGATTTGATCTGCAGGGTAGAAAACTGACATTTGTCCCCACAATTGTCGAAAGGACATCTTGTTCTGGAGTACCGTTTTTCAGCAAAGAGGCTCCTTGCAGGAGGAACGGAGCAAGTAGCTCCTGAACTGACATGAGAAGTTGTCCAACTCAAGGCGCACAACCTGCGCAGCGCCGATCGCGACAACAGCGCCGCTTATCAGACCATGGTCGGCACTCAAGAAACTGGTTCCATTTGGCTGTGGCTCAAAAAACCGGTACCAAAATGGCCACCTTGGTAAATGGAACCAAAGACTAAAACCAGCGGTTGGCCCTAGCTCCTTAATTTTGGGCCACACCCATTTAAATCTACCAATGATCGGCTTCGTAGAGCCGATGAGTCAAATACCCTGGCCACCCAAAAGAACCAGCCCAACGGTTAGTTTCTTTGGCGGCTTCAAGGGTGCCTGAAGCACAATATTCATCCCTCCCGTCGGCCTTCGGCCGGCACGTCCATCAGTCGCTGCCTGGACAGGACCCAGGTGTTCAGGGAAACATGGGTGACCCCCCTCTGCGCCACTTGTCTGTACTACTACACCCCAGCATATGCGTGAGTGTGGTGGTACCTCTCTCTACAAACGTACGAAAAGGTGACCCCCCCCATGTCCTTCCTAAACCAAAGGAGACTGCTCAAAACCGGTGTCTCAGTGCAGAAAAAACTCAAACTGGCATCTGCAGGGTACATGTTCTGTTGACCTACATTGCTATTTTGCCGGGCTGCAAAAAACTGGCAAAGCAGGTTTATTGTCATTCTAGGTGAAGGTGAGCACATGGAGTTGTCAGTTCTTCCCTGGCTCGAACAAACAATGGCACTACTGAATTGTCCACCTCTTTGCGTGCCTTCTAGGCTTAGCGTTTGTTTAGGGTTGGTTGAGAGTCGGTCTCTAGTTGCTTCGGGGTGGTTGAAGCCAGGCATTTAGGCTTGGTTTAAGGTTCGTTCAGGACTATTCAGGGCTGGTTTTGGTTTACGTGTGTGCGTCTCTCACATCTCTGTTTTCCACAAGGACGCTGGATGTGTCCTTTTTCAGGGAACCTCCGAAACCCACGAAATGACTTTCTTTCTTGGTTTCCCTTTAAAACCTAACAAAAAAGGGGTACATTCAAAAAAAGCACCCAAAAGAAGCCACGTGAGACCAAGTGTTTGCTGGTTTATATAAAGGAGCTTTTCTTCCGCTCTTCTCCCGGCCTGTGGACTGGACAGCGAGGCCTTCCTCATCGATCACCGGGCCGCCAGGCATCTTAGCTGGCTCATTGTGTGATACCGTTTCGGGTGCCAATAAACCCAGCTGGCCGCTATTATATCCTGAATTTGTCTTACCTCTACCGTTGGACCAAATTGGTCGTTGTTGGGAACTGGTATCGTGGCATCATGCTGGCCAACTTACTCTAACTCACCTGGAATTTAGAAATCTCAGGGTAAGGGAAATATCCTCGAATCGGTGATGCTCGACATCTGCTGAGATTCTAGATCTCGGGCCTGGCAACTCCGAAACATGCAAGTGTTGCTGCCTACCAAGATAATTTCGAGTCTGGTCTGAACCTTATAAAGTAGAGTAACATGGCCATGGGTCAAAATCCCGTATTTCAAGTGAACATCCCAAGCCCCAATAAAATAAAGCCCAAAATGGGTGGTGAATTCACCTACCAACCAAAATGAGATCCCAACACAGCTTTGACAACCACAGCCACATTAACTAAGATCCCAAAAATACCCTCCAAAATGGGCTGTGCCCCCTTCATCAACTAGGGGAGTGAGCTAGTGGGTCAACACTCGAGCATCCAGATCTATCTCAAGGCGTGACACGGGATGCTCGCAGTGACTTCTCTGCAGGTTCATGGACCATAAACTAGTAGAGCAGCAGCATCTACAAACAAACCATTGTGTGTGTGTGGTGTGTGGTGTGTGGTGTGTGGTGTGTGGTGTGTGGTGTGTGGTGTGTGGTGTGTGGTGTGTGGTGTGTGGTGTGTGGTGTGTGGTGTGTGGTGTGTGGTGTGTGGTGTGTGGTGTGTGGTGTGTGGTGTGTGGTGTGTGTGTGTGTGTGTGTGTGTGTGTGTGTCTGTGTGTGTGTCTGTTTGTGTGTGTCTGTGCGTGTCTGTGTGTGTCTGTGTGTGTCTGTGTGTGTGTGTCTGTGCGTGTCTGTGTGTGTGTGTCTGTGTGTGTGTCTGTGTGTGTCTGTGTGTGTCTGTGTGTGTGTGTGTCTGTGTGTGTGTGTCTGTGTGGGTCTGTGTGTCTGCGTGTGTCTGTGTGTGTCTGTGTGTGTGTCTGTGTGTGTGTCTGTGTGTGCCTGTGTGCCTGTGTGTGCCTGTGTGTGCCTGTGTGTGTGCCTGTGTGTGTGCCTGTGTGTGCCTGTGTGTGCCTGTGTGCGTGTGTGCGTGTGTGCGTGTGCGTGTGCGTGTGCGGGTGTGTGTGTGTGTGTGTGCTTGTGCGTGCTTGTGCGTGCTTGTGCGTGCGTGGGTGTGTGTGTGTGTGTGTGTGTTTGTGTGTTTGTGTGTTTGTGTGTTTGTGTGTTTGTGTGTTTGTGTGTTTGTGTGTTTGTGTGTTTGTGTGTTTGTGTGTTTGTGTGTTTGTGTGTTTGTGTGTTTGTGTGTTTGTGTGTTTGTGTGTTTGTGTGTTTGTGTGTTTGTGTGTTTGTGTGTGTGTGTGTGTGTGTGTGTGTGTGTGTGTGTGTGTGTGTGTGTGTGTGTTGTGTTTGTGTGTGTTTGTGTGTGTTTGTGTGTGTTTGTGTGTTTGTGTGTCTGTATGTGTCTGTATGTGTCTGTATGTGTCTGTGTGTCTGTGTGTTTGTGTGTTTGTGTGTCTGTGTGTTTGTGTGTTTGTGTGTTTGTGTGTTTGTGTGTTTGTGTGTTTGTGTCTGTGTGTCTGTGTTTGTGTGTCTGTGTGTTTGTGTTTGTGTGTGTGTGTGTGTGTTTGTGTGTTTGTGTGTTTGTGTGTTTGTGTGTTTGTGTGTGTGTTTGGGTTTGTGTTTGTGTTTGTGTTTGTGTGTTTGGTTGTGTGTGTGTGTGTGTCGCTTAAGTGTACCCCTTTGGGGATTGTTTAAAAACTACGCTCCAGAGTTGAAACCAAACCCACAGACATGACATCACACAACTAAGAAGCCTTTGCCGTGTGCCTTTCCCCGAGATGACTAAGCATATGCCAAGCAATCGAAGCTCAAAGGTCAAGTACGCTCGGCATTGCCTTTGCCCCAGTCGGGACCAGCCGGTTTTTGTCCAAAAAATAAGAGACACATCGTTGGTTGTCCGCGGTACATACATTGTTCTTTCCTAGGAAATGAGATGACACCCTAAACAAGTGGGCATTGGCAGAGGTAAGCAGTACCGAAACTGAAAAGCATTGTTCTCAACAACTAGGGAAGCCTAGAATGGTTCGTTTCTGTTTGGGTAGCCCTGAATCATCCATCCTTTACCTCCATCTGCTAAAGCCCCTGGCAAATTGAGAAACTATTTCCGGTAGTGATAGATTCCTTTTAACACCAACTGGGGAAAGCAAAACCCGTCTGAAGCATTGCCTCAGGTTAAGCTCGTGGCACCATGATTAAAGATCTACCTCCATAACATCATGGTGACCCCGGACTACTAAACCCCGGGTGGGTGACTCCCCCCTTGTTACGGTGGATGGACGAAATCCATTTCGCACCGAAGAAACCCCATGATGATTCCCCTGCAACACACACCAACAAAAAATGGCTTCCCGGGTTTGCAAAGTGGTGCGACATGCATTTCGTCCATCCAGAGTAGGACGGGTTTATAAATCAGGGCTTAACTTCACTCTACAACTCTTGGTTATTGTAGCAAAAAAACGCGTTTTTTTTTTTTTTTTTTTTTGGATCGCCAGTTGCTATTTTGTCCATGCACTTTACCCCAGAAACCAGGAACAGTGACTGAAAAAAAGGCCCGAGTAAAACTGAACAGAACCAGAAAAATGCAAACAACTTGAGCCAAGAACAGTGAAGTTCTGCAACTGGAAGTCCACTTTTCCTCCGGGGCCCCCCACCGGGCCGTGGGTCTCCTCATAGGACTTCTTCGTGCGCGGAGCGCCGCAGACTTGCTGCGCCAGGCCCTTGCTGTCCCGCACCGGGCCCGTGGGCATCTGGCGAGAGAACAGATCTGGCCATGGGTCAAAACCCCGCACCACCAGTGAACATCCCAATCCCAACTAAAAAGACTAAAATGGATGGTGAATTCACCTACCCCAAAATGGGATCCCATTGGTTTTGACCCACAGCCATCTGAATTCCGCAGGCGCACAGCTAGAGAATATCCATCTATGTATATATGTATATACAGTCTGAAACAACGGTCTGGAACGAATGTGGGTTCCGGACCCTGTTCCGGACCTTATAAGTTGGCTAAATACATGAATGTATGCGTACATGTAAAGCAACAATAATCTGCATATATGGTTATACTTATGTGGATATAAGTATATGTACATAATATGGGTGTGTGAGAAGTGGTACCTGTTCTGAGTCGTGTTCAAGGTCTCGACAAACACAGGACCCCCGCACACTACCGTCACCGGATGCTTAGAACAAACTACTTGGACCATGGCGCAGCCTATTCCGCCCCAGATCCATTTCCCTCAGCAACCAAGGGAAACTGTTGGTTGCCTGCTACCGGGATTGACTTGGAACGGTGATGCTCGGAACACGGTCCAAAGGAAAACGCTGGTCGAAAAGGTGGTCTCCGGGACATCTCTTGGTTTCGGTTGAGACATGTTCTGATCAGAATCGGCCAGGGGCCTGTGAATCGGTTGCCGTGAAGGGCACACAGGGACTTGATCGCTGACGCCTTTGGTGAGCAAACCAACTTCCTAGCGTAGCAAAAGCTGAGAGTGGCCCATGTCATCCCTGTACAGTAGACGACAGATATTGACCATGTGCTGATTTCTCACATCAAGTCCATGTTGGTGAAGGGTTCTCAGCAGGAGACTTGAAAGCAAAGGAAGCTTTTTTGTGGTGTGGCTCAAACAAAACAGCTGGGGTTACGCAGAATTTAGTCCTGGTTTCCATTTACCAGGGATCCATTTTGGCGTGACCCAACTTTCGACCTGCACCCTTTTGGCTTCCATCTTAACCAGTCTAGGTGTTGGGTTGAAAGGACCACAGGATGCCTTCTTCGAACTCATCTTCGAATCTCCAAGCCGCAGGCAGGATTGGACCTTTAAAGGACTCCTTTTCGCTGCCTTTATACACCCTTCTTATGGAAAGCAGCGGCGCTGTCAGGGTGCAGGAAGATTGGAGCTTGAGAAACCCGTCAACTTTCCAACTGGAAACCCCTCAGACGACTTCGGCAATCTGCAGAAGCTGGACATCTTTTATTCGGCTTGATGTTCAGACACATCCAACCACCAGCTTGGTGATTTGAACCAGCACTGAGTGTTCTGAACAACTAGGGACGCCTAAAGTTGTTTGCTTAACCATCCCAACAGTTGCCTCCATTTGCTCATGTCCATGGAACACATACAGATATCTCCAGTAGTGATAGATTCCCCTTCGCAGGGGAAAGTAACACATGGATGAAACTGAACGAACATGAATAGAAATTGCTGGAACATAAGACCTGGATGGACAATAACACCAACAGGGAAGATATGGGAGGCACTCCAAGGAAACCACTCATTTAGGGAAGCCCTATTTTGAGACAACACCCAGATGGGAGGTGTCTTTTTTTGGAACCCTCTTTTGGTTTCTCGTAAAATCCACCCCCAAAGAGCACCGGCCAAAAAAAAACACAGAACTGTGTGGTGGTAGTCATCCAACTAAATGACCCAAATACCGGAAATCGGGGAGCCTTGTTTTCTTGAAGAAATCCAAGCATACTCCCTAGGGTTCAACCCCACTAGAACGAATGGCCCAGGGGGACTGACAATCCTGATCGGTACGCAATAGTGGTGAAACATAAACCCAAGCATTGTTTTAATGGTGGTCTGCCTGAACCTCAGGGTACACTACCGCAGACTCACATGAAAGCTCCCACAAGGCCGATCCTGCCATTTCGGTCACCAAGTCTAAACCATTTCGGGGTCCCTTGGGGAGCTTCCATGTTGAATCGCCTCGGAGTGTGGGGGGAGGGTACTCTCGAGAAGCTGGAAGTACCTGGAGTCTCCATGACCCTTAAAAAAGGGGTCATAACCCGGCCAAAATAATGGGGTCATGGACCCATTTTTAAAGGGTCATGGAGACTCCAGGTAGCGGTTTTCCGCTTTGGCCGATGCATCGACGCATAGCTTTTCGGCCTTGCCGTGCACCTCCTCGTAGCTCTTCTTGACGGCCATTCCGCCAGTCGACTGCACGGCGAGGCCCTCCTCGTCGATCACCGGGCCGTCCCCGACCTGTGATCGAGTCACCTACTTACTACTACTTACTACCACTATTTATTACTACTTACTACTACTGCTGCTGCTGCTACTACTACTACTGCTACTACTATTACTACTAGTAAACCAATAGGCATAATGAGCAAGCACCAAACCTGAATGTGCTCAAACAATAAATGCACCCCCCCCAATTATAAAAAAATCCTCCCAACATATATATATATATATATATTTGTATTAATTGGGGTCATTCATTAATAGGGGGAACGGATTATAAGCCGATACTAACACATATCCCAGACGTCGGCTTGATGCCTTCCTGAAGGCGCTTCATGAAGGGTTTCCACCTAACTACGAGAGGTGGGATGCATACGTATTACATGCGTGCACCCACTACACCATCACTACATCAAGGGCAAATTCCTAAAGTAAACATATATATATATATACATATTGTGTATGGTACATCATATCACACGCCCCCCCCCCCCTTTTTGCAGAGGGTAGAGGGTTGGGTGCAGACCCTCCTTGCCAGTCCCGTAGGTAGGCCTTGCCGTTCACCTCCTCGTAGCTTGGCTTCTTCTCATCCGCCATGCCTTTGAACCCAAAAATTCGACGTCCGTGAGCCTTCCAGTTGAGAAGATGGCACAACTCCAACCCATAAAACACTCAGATGCCCAGTGCCCATGGGAGAAAAAGGGCATCCTATTTTGGTTGGTTGACTTTAAAGGGGAACCCTTCTCAAATAAAGGAAAGCAGGGTACCACTCAGGCAACTGGGAACATGTGTATTCTCGTTTTTCCTCCCGCGCCATTGCGCCCTAGAGATGCAGCAAAAGTGAGTCGTAAAGGCAGGGAATGTCGAGATGTAGCGTCTCGCAAGGCCACCCCAGGCCAGGACGCTGCTTGGCCTTTCAAGAGAACCCAACAAACAGAAAGGGTAAATATCTTCCAGAAACAAAACCAGGCGAATAATCCCGGAAACGCCCGCTGGCAATCGCTTAAGCGATTCGAAGCCTGCGAGAACTGGCCCTTGACCAATTCCTATTTTGAGAAAATCAAGCTTGGACCCGCAAAAGAGTTTGTAAGGGGGGAGGGAGTGTGTAAGACTCTTCTCCTTGTGCGATGCAAGAATTGTCGTCGCAGGGGTCACAAGGGAACAGCGTTCCTTTTTGATCTCCAATGATAAACAAGATCAAAAGCAACACGTATCAACACGTCAACAAGCCAACAATAGTGAAATTCCAGCATGACTTCCCTGTTCTGTCTGTAGTTGGGGTCCTCCAAAAGAGATGCTGGCACAAGGAATTAGATAGATCTTTTAGTTGGAGTGGGCGAATTGCCTTCACCAACGAGATCCAACGCTAAAGAATTGCATGTAGCCTCGCTTGTATCCGGTGAAACTCGAAAACCGACACCAATTGGTTTGGCTGAAACTATGCGCTAGAACGACAACTTCATCGAGAACCCTTTTGGGCTAAGGTTTTTTCAAGGAACCCCCCATGACAGCAACCATTTTGGGTCCGGACAATTTGGATGCCCAGTCCGGCCTTTCAAATGCCGAGTGCGCGAGGCCCAAGGCCGGTGTGGTGAGCCAATGGCTTGCGAATCGCTGAGACATCACACAACACATGAGGTCCATGGAAATCCCTCCCCCCCCGATGCTCATTTTAGTAACATCTAAACTTGATTTTGGCACTACTCCTTTTTGAGACAAAAATGATAATACAAATCGTGCAATTGCATAGAGACCCAACTGTTTGTTTACCACTGACTGTGGTTTAGCTGGGCAGTGACCCTTCGAATGAAAAAAACCAAAGTTCGAGCCCCTGGAACTGGGGCTGGAGGGCCCGACTTGGCGACCCGAGATACGCCAAACGGAAGGAGTTGCAGATTCATTCCGCCATATTTCGCTGGCCATTCCCAAATCTCATACAGAGGAGACCATTTGATGAGGTCCATTCAACACTCACCCAGAAGGGTTCATGAAGCCTTTTTCAGGCCGGCTTTTTTTTCTTCTTCATCATCCATGGTTGCTGGATATATTGCCAGGTGGGGAGGATGACATTTGTGCAAACCGACAAGTGCTCCCAAAATCGTAAAACGTCAGCGTTCTCCTCAGTCCCTGCAGATGGACAAAATCCACTTCGCGCCAGTTGGTAGGTTCATCCCAATGTTCAGAGGGGAACCCTCCACCAAAAAAGGGTAAAAGGACACTGGGGGACCTAGTAGGGAAACATCCATCCTAACTGGTGCAGAAAACCGTCCGGCCACAGTACGAGTGGCGGTCAACATATGAACACATCCCTCGGCCTCGGCTTGCCGAACCCAACCCAGCCTTGGTGACAATGGGGCACGACCTCTGGCCGTTGCGCAGCACGGATCCAGCCTGAAACTACCTGCACTTTTGATCACTCGCTGTCCTCTTCGAAAGTTGAACCTCCGCTGATGCCGTCTTGCTCGCCATCCTCTACTTGGTCCATGTTCATTTTTATTCTCACTTCCTGCGTGGATCCGCCAAACAGAGTTGCCGCCAAAAGAATCAAAATGGTCTTGCCCAAAAGTTGTTGAACGCCGGGAGAGAGTATGGGCGCTAGCAATCCTCTCCATGAATGCCTTGGCGCAACTGAATGTTCCAAAATCGGGTGGACCGCCCCTCGCAAAATGCACACGTTTTTCTGTGGGCGACCCTTTTCACAACTACTGAAAGTCATGCTTTCAACCCGCAAACAATCGCTGTCAGCTTTTTCAAGAGTCAGCTTCGTATTTGCTTGTCGCCCCTCGCTCAAAAAGGGCTTCTGTGGCCCTTAGATGAACAAAGCAGTAGTTGGCAGACCCTTAGCGTCAGCCTTGGAGCTTGGGGCGCCTTGTTCGAGGCTCCAGTTTGCGGAGTTCAAGGGACACCATGCCATGGGTTCCATTCAAGGTTGGATGGAAAAAGGTGGCCAGTTTCCCTGCCTTCCCAACTCCCAAACGCCAAGAGCATCAAGCAACCCTACCTCCAACATGTACAGCAAACAGCTTTTCTGGTGGGATCCGTCACAAATTTAAAAGTCCAAACGTCCAAAACACTCAAAAGGCTGAGGGTATGGCTAGGCCAAGTTCATGTGGACCCATTTCATGTGGAACCTGCGTTGCGCCCCCAGTTTCATTGGACCATTCCTTGATACATCATGCCTTCCATTCATGCATTTTCTCTGTGGGCAAGGCCCGTTGTGCCTTAGAGTCTCAGCTTCATTGGACCGTCTGGCACCAGGGGAGAACAAGTTGAAAGCTCGCCGGTGCTCAGGGAATGAGTTGGAACCCCGAAAAAGGGGACCAAAGCCCGGGCTTCTTCCAACTCTAGGTCCTCCAGTAGAGAGGTTAGAATACACATAGAACTCATTCCCTATATGCACCTGCTCAGCAGGGAACGAGTTGGAACTCCCTGTAAGGGGACCAAAGCCCGGGCTTCTTCCAACTCTAGGTCCTCCAGTAGAGAGGTTAGAATACACATAGAACTCATTCCCTATATGCACCTGCTCAGCAGGGAACGAGTTGGAACTCCCTGTAAGGGGACCAAAGCCCGGGCTTCTTCCAACTCTAGGTCCTCCAGTAGAGAGGTTAGAATACACATAGAACTCATTCCCTATATGCACCTGCTCAGCAGGGAACGAGTTGGAACTCCCTGTAAGGGGACCAAAGCCCGGGCTTCTTCCAACTCTAGGTCCTCCAGTAGAGAGGTTAGAATACACATAGAACTCATTCCCTATATGCACCTGCTCAGCAGGGAACGAGTTGGAACTCCCTGTAAGGGGACCAAAGCCCGGGCTTCTTCCAACTCTAGGTCCTCCAGTAGAGAGGTTAGAATACACATAGAGTACTCATTCCCTATATGCACCTGCTCAGCAGGGAACGAGTTGGAACTCCCTGTAAGGGGACCAAAGCCCGGGCTTCTTCCAACTCTAGGTCCTCCAGTAGAGAGGTTAGAATACACATAGAACTCATTCCCTATATGCACCTGGGAAGCAGGGAACGAGTTGGAACAGGGGACCAAAGCCCGGGCTTCTTCAAACTCTAGGTCCTCAGTAGAGAGGTTAGAACACACATAGAACTCATTCCCTATATGCACCTGCTCAGCAGGGAACGAGTTGGAACTCCCTGCAAGGGGACCAAAGCCCGGGCTTCTTCCAACTCTAGGTCCTCCAGTAGAGAGGTTAGAATACACATAGAACTCATTCCCTATATGCACCTGCTCAGCAGGGAACGAGTTGGAACTCCCTGTAAGGGGACCAAAGCCCGGGCTTCTTCCAACTCTAGGTCCTCCAGTAGAGAGGTTAGAATACACATAGAACTCATTCCCTATATGCACCTGCTCAGCAGGGAACGAGTTGGCACTCCCTGTAAGGGGACCAAAGCCCGGGCTTCTTCCAACTCTAGGTCCTCCAGTAGAGAGGTTAGAATACACATAGAACTCATTCCCTATATGCACCTGCTCAGCAGGGAACGAGTTGGAACTCCCTGTAAGGGGACCAAAGCCCGGGCTTCTTCCAACTCTAGGTCCTCCAGTAGAGAGGTTAGAATACACATAGAACTCATTCCCTATATGCACCTGCTCAGCAGGGAACGAGTTGGAACTCCCTGTAAGGGGACCAAAGCCCGGGCTTCTTCCAACTCTAGGTCCTCCAGTAGAGAGGTTAGAATACACATAGAACTCATTCCCTATATGCACCTGCTCAGCAGGGAACGAGTTGGAACTCCCTGTAAGGGGACCAAAGCCCGGGCTTCTTCCAACTCTAGGTCCTCCAGTAGAGAGGTTAGAATACACATAGAACTCATTCCCTATATGCACCTGCTCAGCAGGGAACGAGTTGGAACTCCCTGTAAGGGGACCAAAGCCCGGCTTCTTCCAACTCTAGGTCCTCCAGTAGAGAGGTTAGAATACACATAGAACTCATTCCCTATATGCACCTGCTCAGCAGGGAACGAGTTGGAACTCCCTGTAAGGGGACCAAAGCCCGGGCTTCTTCCAACTCTAGGTCCTCCAGTAGAGAGGTTAGAATACACATAGAACTCATTCCCTATATGCACCTGCTCAGCAGGGAACGAGTTGGAACTCCCTGTAAGGGGACCAAAGCCCGGGCTTCTTCCAACTCTAGGTCCTCCAGTAGAGAGGTTAGAATACACATAGAACTCATTCCCTATATGCACCTGCTCAGCAGGGAACGAGTTGGAACTCCCTTTAAGGGGACCAAAGCCTGGGTCTCTGTTCCAACTCATTCCCGGCTCAGCACCAACAGGGATCCTTGCATTGTACACCTGAACATTGCCTTGTAAATGGTGGGTTCTAACCCGTCATAGCTCTTGTTTGAACCCGTAGCTTCTTTCACGACAGAAGTTGGCAATCCACCATTCTTGTCCAGACTTGGTATGGCTTTTCACACAGATCATCCACTCATGTTTATACATCTTTCTCTTTGGAGAAGCGGATGTCCCTTTGTTTTGGTGTTGAAAAAGCCACATGTTTCAAATGGTTGAAACATGTATCCTTTAAGGAGCCCTGACCAACAAGACAGGCTCGGAGATCGCACGAACCGAAGCCATGGGCGGCGGCTGGACGTCCACAACCCGGCGCCAGCGCCGCCCGGAGCTGTCACGTTCAGCGCCCCAGTCCTGGTGGACGCGAAACCCTCAACGACTTCTTTTTTTTTCTCCTTCGGCGTGTTGAGTTTTTTTTTAAAGCGAACGTGTGTGTGTGTGTGTGTCTCTGTGTGTCTCTGTGTGTCTCTGTGTGTCTCTGTGTGTCTCTGTGTGTCTCTGTGTGTCTCTGTGTCTGTGTCTGTGTCCAAGAAGGCCTCGGGAAACGGAACCAAGTCTTCCAAAGGGGTCCTGGAAGCTTCCCTGTTAGTCTGGGGGAGGGTGGAAATTCGGGCGACTTTTCCTTTGTGACCCTTTTTGGGATCGGGGGTTTGCACATGTCCAATCCAATGTCACCATGGTCCTCCCTTTGGAGGGTCTCCTGGCAGCCTGAAATTCAGACTGAAGTGTCAGCACTTTGCGAGAGGTGCCGCAGAAATTACCCATCATTTGGTGGCCATGTAGAATGGCTATTAATCCACTCTGTACCAGTTGTGTAGTGACTGGCGGCTGCATACCCGATAAATCCCTGTAGGGGGCCAACAATTGTTTACGAACGGTACACACTTACATTCATGATTTGCTTTGGTCTTAAACAGGGATCCTTGCATTATACACCTGAACATTGCCTTGTAAGTGGTGGGTTCCCATTATTTTGGTGTTGAAAAAGCCACATTATTGAAATGGTTGCAAAAATATATCTTTTAAGGAGCCCTGTTAAAGTACTCCGCAAGTCTACTTGAGTATTTGGACCCCCCTTAAAATTTTCTGGTGTCCTTTTGGCTTTCCCGAGAAAAAAGCCACCCCTAATGTTCACCCAGGATTAATAAACCCGTCCCCTTAGGGGGTTGTTCCCTCCAAACGTGGTCTGAATCCCCACCAAAAGGGGGATTCACCCCATCAAAATCAACCAGGGGTTCTGCTTAGATCCGGGGTTAACATTAACAGGTACCCGAAACCACAACCATAAACCCCTCGAGCCGGCTTCTTGGTGCCCAGCCTGCTCCAGAAAGCCGATCGCCTCATAATCCGCCTCCTCCTGGCCGACATTTCGCAGCCGGAAAACGCCGCTGGAGTCAAAGCCGCGCCGGCTTTGGGAAAATTCCTGCAAGACGCTTTCGATCGCATGCGTCTTGGGTCCTCCAGAGAGCTTAGAATAAGTTGGTACCCATTTTGTTGGAGGCCTCAAGCTGGGCAACCAACATCCAGCCGCAAGAAAGGAGTCGACACAGCACCAATGAACTTGTCTCAAAAGGCAACCACCCACAAAGATCCACCGGGAAAAAGGAGGAACCAAGAAAACACAACACACACACACACACAACAGACAAAAAAGGAAAAACAACAAGTTGTTTTGAGCTGCTTCCCTCCAAAAGCAAGCTTAAGGCTCCTTACACACCACCCGTAAGGTTCCCGGCGAGGCATCGGCGCCTTCAGCTGCTGACGTCGCCGAGGTGGCGGATCCTGCCAGCCGCTGGGTTTGTCGTTCGGAGTAGGTCCTCCAGTGGAGAGGTTAGAATAAGGGTACCCTTTTTGCTGTTTTTTAGTAGGGTCCCGAACCCTCCCGAAAATTGGTAAAAGGGCACTACTGGAGGACCTAGAAGGGAAGCTGAAGGGACACCTATAATTTTTTGTGGGTGGTTGGGTAAAGTAAAGGGAACCATATTAAGTTTTGAGTCCCAAGGTTGGGCCACGCCCATTGAAGCAACATCTGCTTGCGGGGCCACGGGTTGGTTGCAACAAATGTCGCCCCTGCCCGGAAAGCATCGGCTTTAGACGAATGAGCTGCTAGCCCAGAACCAAAGTCGTTCCAAGGTGCTGAATCAAATTCCTGGGCCGATTGCGGCACACCTGGGAATTCGATGTAGCTCGGGTCGGTATTTGGTTCGACCTTTACCCTTTCAGCTGGATGATTGTCCCACCTCTGATTGGTAAACACTTCCCATGTTGCAGGACCACTACACCAGCTTTTGTTCAGATTCTGGCCCATTAGTGAATGGATTCCGAAAACTTTGTGGTCTGGGAACTTCGGACTTCACTCGGACACGTCCGTTCGAATCCTGGGTGTGGGGTGTGAGCTTGGTGCGGTACCCGTACTGCAAGGGCGACGGCCTCGGGGCGACTGGCCGAAGCCGACATGTGACCACGAAAATGGTCCAAGCCCGTCGAAGGAGAACGGCCCAGGAGTTCAGAACATGAGCTTCCAACTAAGGAAACAAGACTTGGATCCCGCGCAAAGGACCGTCATAGGTGACCTAACGTTTTTTCCAAAGCTCGCAAAACAAATGTAGAATCAACGTCACCGCCAAGGTGGTTGGAAGGAAAAAGCCAAAGACCGAGACGGTGACGATGATGTCCCACGGCAGTGAAGATAGTATTGACCCCATAGAAAAGTCAACCCCAGTTTATTAACAGGGAGTGTCCATTATTGGAGAGGAACACTCCCTACCTGGAGTCTCCATGACCCTTAAAAAATGGGGTCATTCCCCAAACTCGTGGGGTCATGGACCCATTTTCAAAGGGTCAGGAGACTCCAGGTATTGCTAAACCTGGGGTTGACCTTCTCCTATGGAGTGTCCTTGTCCTGGCGAAGCTTTTGAAACACCTTTTGGAGGGCAGCTTCTGGCGGTTGACCTCTGCAAAAGAGCGGTTTACATTTTTTCCCGCATCACTCGAAACTGCAAGACCTGGGCCGCGTTCTGCAGCTCTTGCAAAGGTCCAGGGTGTCCCAGGGCGTCAGGGCGTCTTGCAGTTTGTGTGTAGCAAAGAGTCCAATCCTCACTGCTTCCCAAAAAGCTAAGGTTCAAACATTCGATCAAATAGCCATACAGCATTCAGAGCTCTTTGTACACATCATGGGCTAGATTGCTCCTTTCACTTCCCCCTCCCCCCAAAAAAACACACACGCTGGAATCTGTGGTGAACTAATTCGCCCAAATATATTTGGGGATCAGCTCAAATCAGACGCTCACAATGGTGGCTGGCATGCAACATTCAGAAACGTGGATCGAAAGATCTGGGATGGCATCAACCTTGTTCCTGGGAAACCCCCATCCTGAAGAAATATCGCATCCTTTACCTCCAAGGACCCAGCAAAAACCTTGGTGAACCGGAACTCGTGACAATACAAGCCTTCAACAAAAAGGAAGGCGGGAACTGGCATGGACAAACTATGGCACGGTTCTTCGCATCCCTCAAATGGGTGGTGTTTCTGTAGCTTTCTCTTCCAAGCCCAAACGGGGTAGCCTCAGAAAAAGACGCACTTCTTGTGTGAAAGACTGTAAGAACTCAGGATATGGTTGAAGATGGGTAAATGTAATAAAATGGTACCTGCAAGAAGAAGTACCCTTTTTCACCCCGAGAAGGGTACCAGTAAGTCACCCCAAAAGAAGATGGGTCAACCGTGGGCAGACTCGCACTCGTTGTTCCTGGGCAACTGCCGCTTGATCCTAAATTTCAGCGTGGAATCGTTCGTGGACTTCCATGTGGGGCTATGGGGGAGGAGCCCAGGATGAGCCCTTCACAAGGCCAGGGAGTTACGCCCGCCTCCCCATAGCCCTCTTAGGCCCTGCCAAAGGCAAAACCGTGGAATCCCCAAGCTCAAACTTACCTCCTTGTTATCTCTTCCTTGCATGGGCTTGGGTCCCCGTGCGCAAGCCTTGCTATGAGCCATGTCCTCCTTCCCCTTGACGACGACTGCCCCGAGGTTCAGCCCAACAGCGTTCTTGTGGCCATGTCTTTCTTTAGGAGACCCCCCCAAAATGGGGTTTTCCTTTTGGGTTTCATTTCAAAGCCCCAAACTGGGTAGCCTCAAAAAAAAAAAAAAAACGAAACCACCCTGGAGTTTGTAGTGGTATCTTGGCTTGACCATGTGCAGCACTCGTCATTTCTGATCTCCCCGATCCGTTTCAGCCTCCTCACGCGGCGTACGCGCCTGCGCGCCTGCGCTCGCTCCATTCCCAAGCGCTCTGTCCAGACCAAGGGAGCGGAAGAGAGTTCGTTTAAAGAGACATGCGGTTGAACCACGAAGCGCACACATTTGTTGCACACACACACACACACACGAAGCCGATCATTGGTAGATTTAAATGGGTGTGGCTGAAAAATAAAGAGCCAGCTCTACGAAGCCGATCATTGGTAGATTTAAATGGGTGTGGCTGAAAAATAAAGAGCCAGCTCTACGAAGCCGATCATTGGTAGATTTAAATGGGGTGTGGCTGAAAAATAAAGAGCCAGCTCTACGGCTGATCATTGGTAGATTTAAATGGGTGTGGCTGAAAAATAAAGAGCCAGCTCATTGAAGCCGACTGGTAGATTTAAATGGGTGTGGCTGAAAATAAAGAGCCAGCTCTACGAAGCCGATCATTGGTAGATTTAAATGGGTGTGGCTGAAAAATAAAGAGCCAGCTCTACGAAGCCGATCATTACAGATTTAAATGGGTGTGGCTGAAAAAATAAAGAGCCAGCTCTACGAAGCCGATCATTGGTAGATTTAAATGGGTGTGGCTGAAAAATAAAGAGCCAGCTCTACGGCTGATCATTGGTAGATTGGGATCCAAGGTGGCTGAAAATAAACTCAGCGGACTACGAAGCCGATCATTGGTAGATTTAAATGGGTGTGGCTGAAAAATAAAGAGCCAGCTCTACGAAGCCGATCATTGGTAGATTTAAATGGGTGTGGCTGAAAAATAAAGAGCTTCAGCTCTACGAAGCCGATCATTGGTAGATTTAAATGGTGCGGGCTGGAAAATAAAGAGCCAGCTCTACGAAGCGCCGATCATTGGTAGATTAAAATGGGTGGCTGAAAAATAAAGAGCCAGCTCTCATTGAAGCCGATCATTGGTAGATTTAAATGGGTGTGGCTGAAAATAAAGAGCCAGCTCTACGAAGCCGATCATTGGTAGATAAATGGGGGTGGCTGGAAAATAAAGAGCCAGCTCTACGAAGCCGATCATTGGTAGATTTAAATGGGTGTGGCTGAAAATAAAGAGCCAGCTCTCTACGAAGCGATCATTGGTAGATTTAAATGGGTGTGGCTGAAAAATAAAGAGCCAGCTCTACGAAGCCGATCATTGGCAGATTTAAATAAGGTGGCTGAAAAATAAAGAGCCAGCTCTACGAAGCCGATCATTGGTAGATTTAAATGGGTGTGGCTGAAAAATAAAGAGCTAGCCTACGAAGCCGATCAACATAGACTTAGCAGTCGCGCTGAGTACAGCAGCCAGCTCTACGAAGCCGATCATTGGTAGATTTAAATGGGTGTGGCTGAAAATAAAGAGCCAGCTCTACGAAGCCGATCATTGGTAGATTTAAATGGGTGTGGCTGAAATAAAGAGCCAAATACGAAGCCGATCATTGGTAGATTTAAATGGGTGGCTGAAAACAAAGAGCCAGCTCTACGAAGCCGATCATTGGTAGATTTAAAATGGGCGTGGCTGAAAAATAAAGAGCCAGCTCTACGAAGCCGATCATTGGTAGATTTAAATGGGTGTGGCTGAAAATAAAGAGCCAGCTCTACGAAGCCGATCATTGGTAGATTTAAATGGGTGGCTGAAAAATAAAGAGCCAGTCAGCTAGCCGATCATTGGTAGATTTAAATGGGTGTGGCTGAAAATAAAGAGCCAGCTCATTGCCGATCATTGGTAGATTTAAATGGGTGTGGCTGAAAAATAAAGAGCCAGCTCTACGAAGCCGATCATTGGTAGATTTAAATGGGTGTGGCTGAAAAATTAAAGAGCCAGCTCTACGAAGCCGATCATTGGTGATTTAAATGGGTGTGGCTGAAAAATAAAGAGCCAGCTCTACGAAGCCGATCATTGGTAGATTTAAATGGGTGGCTGAAAAATAAAGAGCCAGCTCTACGAAGCCGATCATTGGTAGATTTAAATGGGTGTGGCTGAAAAATAAAGAGCCAGCTCTACGAAGCCGATCATTGGTAGATTTAAATGGGTGTGGCTGAAAATAAAGAGCCGCTCTACGAAGCCGATCATTGGTAGACGGAAATGGTGTTGAAAAATAAAGAGCCAGCTCTACGAAGCCGATCATTATGAGTTTTACTATGGGTGTATTGAAAAAGAAAAGCCAGCTCTTATTGCCGATCATTGGTAGATTTAAAAATGGGTGTGGCTGAAAAATAAAGAGCCAGCTCTACGAAGCCGATCATTGGTAGATTTAAATGGGTGTGGCTGAAAATAAAGAGCCAGCTCTACGAAGCCGACTAGATTTAAACGGTGTGGCTGAAAAATAAAGAGCCAGCTCTACGAAGCCGATCATTGGTAGATTTAAAATGGGTGTGGCTGAAAAAATAAAGAGCCAGCTCTACGAAGCCGATCATTGGTAGATTTAAATGGGTGTGGCTGAAAAGGAAGAGCCAGCTCTACGAAGCCGATCATTGGTAGATTTTAAATGGGGTGTGGCTGAAAATAAAGAGCCAGCTCTACGAAGCCGATCATTGGTAGATTTGAAAATGTGGTGTGGCTGAAAAAATAAAGAGCCAGCTCTACGAAGCCGATCATTGGTAGATTTAAATGGGTGTGGCTGAAAATAAAGAGCCAGCTCTACGAAGCCGATCATTGGTGTGCCATAAATGGGTGGGCCGAAAAAAAAAGAGCCAGCTCTACGAAGCCGATCATTGGTAGATTTAAATGGGTGGCTGAAAAATAAAGAGCCAGCTCTACGAAGCCGATCATTGGTAGATTTA